AATGCGGAGACATTACAAAAACAAATTAGAGAAAGAATTAATGTTCTTTGTCTGTGTTCAGCAAGTTGCTCACCACAGTAAGAGTGTTTTATATCACCTGTAAACACAGCCGTTTTTCAAGTTTTTTCGTCGTTAATTTGAAGAAATTGAGCATAACAGGAGCTTGAAGGCTTTGGGAATTCGAAAACCGAGCAAAACAAGAGTTCATTTTCTTATTCAGTTTACGTACCCGTTAAAGCGGAGTCATGCATTAGTGGCTTGAGTGGGTGGAAAGCAAAGGGGTCTTTGGTCAAGCCGCATCTGTCATCTCAGTAAAAGACTCTCGTATATCAGAAACTACAAAAGACTGTGTGTTTCACTTAATTCACGACTGACTAGTTTTTCATGTACTTTGAGTTTCTCGTCTCAGGAGAGATCTCCTTATAGTTATACTATATCTTGGCCTTTCAATTGATTCATTCTGCAAGTCATCGAGTTCCCCCTTTGTTGTTCTTTGAATGAGTCTGGAGGAGGAATAGCTATGCTCATAAGAGGGTGCAAAGAGGGTGGAAAACAAAGGGGTCTTTGGTCAAGCCGCATCTGTCATCTCAATAAAACACTCCCGTATATCAGAAACTACAAAACACTATGTGTTTGATTACATTCTCCACTGGCTAGTTTCTCATTTACTTTGATTTTCTCGTCTCAGGAAAGATCTCCTTATAGTTATACTATATTTTGACCTTCCAATTGATTCATTCTGCAAGTTAACAAGTTCCCTTTTTGTTGTACTATGGATAAGTCCGGGGGAGGAAAAGCAATGCTTATAAGAGGGTGCAAAGATTGGGGCCTCTGCATTGGTAAATAGGATGCAGCTGTCGAGGGCGTGTTCCTAACGTGCGTGGATTACCAGGGTCGCAAATTACTTCGCATTCTGAAACCCTCTTGGTTTGCAAAAATACAAATACAAACTAGTTAAGTTTATGATTATTGACTTAAGGCAGATCCAGCGATACTAATGATTCTTCTGCCCCAGCCTGCAAATTCGAGGTTCGGTGAACAACAACTCCCTTTCGCAAAATAGATGAGCCTTGACAAAGGCTGACTCGTTCCTTTACTTGCTTGAATTGCTAAGTAGACGATGACAAACCTTGATATTGAGTGCTTAACAATTGACAGAAGATAATCAAGTCAAAATTGACGTTGGTAACGCTGCAAGCTATCTCAGAAAACCAAGACTTATGGAAAGAGATCCTAACAGGTAACTGGAAAACTTTATTTCTTGCTTTTTCCTCGCTTAGCGTTTTTTATTTCATGCTTCCCGGAAAGTTGAACCAGTTATCTCGGATAATCCTTTGATATGGATAATACCTTATCTTAGCTAGGTACTTGCTCAGCAGTGTATTTCAAAATGGCCCTTCGACTCTTCGAAGAACGTCTCGTACAGTTTTTCATTCCGGAATGTCCGTTTTCCCTGCATCACCTCGCATTTTTTCACTTTTGTGCAGTAATTTTCAGTAGTTAGTTTCAACGTCACAGGTCTTAATATTTGAGCCTCTTGCCTTTTGGGTAAATACTTATTAACATGTAGTTCTCACCACAGAATAGATTTATTGAAAGTAAATAATCCGAATTCTCAAATGTTTCAACGTGTTTGCATATCAGACATCCATTTTAGACAAGGCGCTCTATTTCAATTGATTCGCAGTCAAAAACAGTTTCCAGTTTCCCTTTCAATATTGTTCTAAAACATGTGAAATTTATAAATAAAATGAGACATTCAAAGTCAATGCGGAGACATTAGAAAAACAAATTAGAGAAAGAATTAATGTTCTTTGTCTGTGTTCAGCAAGTTGTTCACCACAGTAAGAGAATTATATATCACCTGAAAACAGCCGTTTTTTCAAGTTTTTTCGTCGTTAATTTGAAGAAATTGAGGAAAACAGGTTCTTGAAGGCTTTGGGAATTCGAAAATCGAGCGAAACAAGACTTCATTTTCTCATTCAGTTTACGTATCCCCTAAAGCGGAGTCATGCATTAGTGGCTTGAGTGGGTGGAAAACAAAGCGGTCTTTTGGTCAAACCACATCTGTCATCTCAGTAAAAGACTCTCGTTTATCAGAAACTAAAAAAGACTGTGTGTTTCACTTAATTCACGACTGACTAGTTTTTCATGTACCTTGAGTCTCTCGTCTCAGGAGAGATCTCCTTATAGTTATACTATATTTTGGCCTTTCAATTGATTCATTCTGCAAGTCATCAAGTTTCCCCTTTGTTGTCCATTGGATGAGTCTGGAGGAGGAATAGCAATGCTTATAAGAGGGTGCAAAGAGGGCGGAAAACAAAGGGGTCTTTGGTCAAGCCGCATCTGTCATCTCAATAAAACACTCCCGTATATCAGAAACTACAAAAGACTTTGTGTTTGATTGAATTCACGGCTGACTAGTTTTTCATGTACCTTGAGTCTCTCGTCTCAGGAGAGATCTCCTTATAGTTATACTATATTTTGGCCTTTCAATTGATTCATTCTGCAAGTCATCAAGTTTCCCCTTTGTTGTCCATTGGATGAGTCTGGAGGAGGAATAGCAATGCTTATAAGAGGGTGCAAAGAGGGCGGAAAACAAAGGGGTCTTTGGTCAAGCCGCATCTGTCATCTAAATAAAACACTCCCGTATATCAGAAACTACATAAGACTTTGTGTTTGATTTAATTCACGACTGACTAGTTTTTCATGTACTTTGAGTTTATCGTCTCAGGAGAGATCTCCTTATAGTTATACTATATTTTGGCCTTCCAACTGATTCATTCTGCAAGTCAACAAGTTCCCTTTTTGTTGTGCTATGGATGAGTCTGGAGAAGGAAAAGCAATGCTTATAAGAGGGTGCAAAGATTGGGGCCTCTGCATTGGTAAATAGGATGCAGCTGTCGAGGGCGTGTATCTAGCGTGCCTGGATTACCAGGGTCTTAAAATACTTCACGTTCTGAAACCTTCTTGGTTTGCAAAAATACAAATACAAACTAGTTAAGTTTATGATAATTGACTTAAGGCGGATCCAGCAATACTAATAGTTCCTCTGCCCCCAACTTGCAAATTCGAGGTGCGGTGAACAACAACTTCCTTTTGCAAAATAGATGAGCCTTGACAAAGGCTGACCCGTGCCCTTACTAGCTTGAATTGCTAAGTAGACGATAACAAACCTTAATATTGAGTGCTTAACGCTTGACAGAAGGCAATCAAGTCTAAGTTGACGTTGGAAAGGCTGCAAGCTATCTCAGAAAACCAAGGTTTATGGAAAGAGATCCACACAGGAAACTGGAAAACTTTATTTCTTGCTTTTTTTCTCGCTTAGCGTTTTTCCTTTCATGCGTCCTCGGAATGTTGAACCAGTTATCTCGGATAATCCTTTGATATGGATAATACCTTATCTTAGCTAGGTTCTTGCTCAGCAGAGTATTTCAAAATGGCTCTTCGACTCTGAGAAGAACGTCTCGTACAGTTTTTCATTCCCGAATATTCGTTTTGCCTGCATCACCTCGCATTTTTTCACTTTTGTCCAGTAATTTTCAGTAGTTAGTTTCAACGTCACAGGTCTTAATATTTGAGCCTCTTGCCTTTTGGGTAAATACTTATTAACATGTAGTTCTCACCACAGAATAGATTTATTGAAAGTAAATAATCCGAATTCTCAAATGTTTCAACGTGTTTGCATATCAGAGACATCTATTTTAGACAAGGCGCTCTATTTCAATCGATTCGCAATCAAAAACAGTTTCCAGTTTCTCTTACAATATTGTTCTAAAACATGTGAAATTTATAAATAAAATGAGACATTCAAAGTCAATGCGGAGACATTACAAAAACAAATTAGAGAAAGAATTAATGTTCTTTGTCTGTGTTCAGCAAGTTGTTCACCACAGTGAGAGTATTTTATATCACCTGTAAACACAGCCGTTTTTTCGAGTTTTTTCGTGGTAAATTTGAAGAAATTGAGCAAAACAGGAGCTTGAAGGCTTTGGGAATTCGAAAATCGAGCAAAACAAGAGTTCATTTTCTCATTCAGTTTACGTATCCCCTAAAGCGGAGTCATGCATTAGTGGCTTGAGTGGATGGAAAACAAAGGGGTCTTTTGGTCAAGCCGCATCTGTTATCTCAGTAAAAGACTCTAGCATATCAGGAACTACAAAAGACTGTGTCATTAACTTAATTCACGACTGACTATTTTTTCCTGTACTTTGAGTTTCTCGTCTCAGGAGAGATCTCCTTATAGTTATACTATATTTTGGCCTTTCAATTGATTCATTCTGCAAGTCATCGAGTTCCCGCTTTGTTGTCCTTTGGATAAGTCTGGAGGAGGAAAGCAATGCTTATAAGAGGGTGCAAAGAGGGCGGAAAACAAAGGGGTCTTTGATCAAGCCGCATCTGTCATCTCAATAAAATACTCCCGTATATCAGAAACTACAAAAGACTTTGTGTTTGATTTAATTCACGACTGACTAGTTTTTCATGTACTTTGTGTTTCTCGTATAAGGAGAGATCTCCTTATAGTTATACTTTATTTTGGCCTTCCAATTGATTCATTCTGCAAGTCAACAAGTTCCCTTTTTGTTGTACTATGGATGAGTCTGGAAGAGGAAAAGCAATGCTTATAAGAGGGTGCAAAGACTCGGGCCTCTGCATTGGTAAATGGGATGCAAATGTCGAGGGCGTGTTCCTACTGTGCCTAGATTACGAGGGTCGCAAAATACTTCACATTCTGAAACCTTCTTGGTTTGCAAAAATACAAATACAAACTAGTTAAGTTTATGATAATTGACTTAAGGCAGATCCAGCGATACTAATAGTTCTTCTGCCCCAACCTGCAAATTCGAGGTTCGGTGAACAACAACTCCCTTTTTCAAAATAGATGAGCCTTGACAAAGGCTGACTCGTTCCCTTATTGGCTTGAATTATTAAGTAGACGGTGACAAACCTTTATATTGAGTGCTTAACGCTTGACAAAAGGCAATCAAGTCTAAGTTGACGTTGGAAAGGCTGCAAGCTATCTCAGAAAACCAAAGTTTAGGGAAAGAGATCCACACAGGTAACTGGAAAACTTTATTTCTTGCTCTTTCCTCGCTTAGCGTTTTCCCTTTCATGCTTCCCGGAAAGTTGAATCAGTTATCTCGGATAATCGTTTGATATGGATAATAGCTTATCTTAGCTAGGTTCTTGCTCAGCAGAGTATTTCAAAATGGCTCTTCGACTCTAAGAAGAACGTCTCATACAGTTTTTCATTCCAGAATGTCCGTTTTGCCTGCATCACCTCGCATTTTTCCACTTTCGTGCAGTAATTTTCAGTAGTTAGTTTCAACGTCACAGGTCTTAATATCTGAGCCTCTTGCCTTTTGGGTAAATACTTATTAACATGTAGTTCTCACCACAGAATAGATTTATTGAAAGTAAATAATCCGAATTCTCAAATGTTTCAACGTGTTTGCGTATCAGAGACATCTATTTTAGAGAAGGCGCTCTATTTCAGTCGATTCGCAATCAAAAACAGTTTCCAGTTTCTCTTTCAATATTGTTCTAAAACATGTGAAATTTATAAATAAAATGAGACATTCAAAGTCAATGCGGAGACATTAGAAAAACAAATTAGAGAAAGAATTAATGTTCTTTGTCTGTGTTCAGCAAGTTGTTCACAACAGTAAGAATACTTTATATCACCTGTAAACATAGTCGTTTTTTTAATTTTTTCGTCGTTAATTTGAAGAAATTGAGCAAAACAGGAGCTTGAAGGCTTTGGGAATTCGAAAATCGAGCAACACAAGGGTTCATTTTCTCATTCAGTCTACGTATCCCCTAAAGCGGAGTCATGCATTAGTGGCTTGAGTGGGTGGAAAACAAAGCGGTCTTTTGGTCAAGCCGCATCTGTCATCTCATTAAAAGACTCTCGTATATCAGGAACTACAAAAGACAGTGTGTTTAACTTAATTCACGACTGACTAGTTTTTCATGTACTTTGAGTTTCTCGTCTCAGGAGAGATCTCCTTATAGTTATACTATATTTTGGCCTTTCAACTGATTCATTCTGCAAGTCAGCAAGTTCCCCCTTTCTTGTCCTTTGGATGAGTCTGGAGGAGGAATAGCAATGCTCCTAAGAGGGTGCAAAGAGGGCGGAAAACAAAGGGGTCTTTGGTCAAGCCGCATCCGTCATCCCAATAAAACACTCCCGTATATCAGAAACTACAAAAGACTGTGTGTTTGATTTAATTCACGACTGACTAGTTTTTCCTGTACTTTGAGTTTCTCGTCTCAGGAGAGATCTCCTTATAGTTATACTTTATTTTGGCCTTCCAATTGATTCATTCTGCAAGTCATCAAGTTCCCTTTTTGTTGTGTTACGGATGAGTCTGGAGAACGAAAAGCAATGCTTATAAGAGGGTGCAAAGATTGGGGCCTCTGCATTGGTAAATGGGATGTAGTTGTCGAGGGCGTGTTCTTTGTGTGCCTGGATTAGCAGGGTCGCAAAATACTTCACATTCTGAAACCTTCTTGGTTTGCAAAAATACAAATACAAACTAGTTAAGTTTATGATTATTGACTTAAGGCAGATCCAGCGATACTAATACTTCCTCTGTCCCCAACCTGCAAATTCGAGGTTCGGTGAACAACAACTCCCTTTTGCAAAATAGATGAGCCTTGACAAAGGCTGACTCGTGCCCTTATTGGGTAGAATTACTAAGTAGACGATGAAATACCTTGATATTGAGTGCTTAACGCTTGACAGAAGGCAATCAAGTCTAAGTTGACGTTGGAAAGGCTGCAAGCTATCTCAGAAAACCAAGGTTTAGGGAAAGAGATCCACACAGGTAACTGGAAAACTTTATTTCTTGCTTTTTCCTCGCTTAGCCTTTTTTCCTTTCATGCTTCCCGGAAAGTTGAACCAGTTATCTCGGATAATCCTTTGATATGGATAATAGCTTATCTTAGCTAGGTTCTTGCTCAGCAGGGTATTTCAAAATGGCTCTTCGACTCTTCGAAGAACGTCTCGTACAGTTTTTCATTCCGGAATATTCGTTTTGCCTGCATCACCTCGCATTTTTCCACCCTAAGCAGTAATTTTCAGTAGTTAGTTTCAACGTCACAGGTCTTAATATTTGAGCCTCTTGCCTTTTGGGTAAATACTTATTAATATGTAGTTCTCACCCTAGAATAGATTTATTGAAAGTAAATAATCCGAATTCTCAAATGTTTCAACGTGTTTGCATATCAGACACATCCGTTTTAGACAAGGCGCTCCATCTCAATCGATTCGAAAACAGTTTCCAGTTTCCCTTTCAATATTGTTCTAAAACATGTGAAATTTATAAATAATATGAGACATTCAAAGTCAATGCGGAGACATTAGAAAAACAAATTAGAGAACGAATTAATGTTCTTTGTCTGTGTTCAGCAAGTTGTTCACCACAGTAAGTGGGTTTATATCACCTGTAAACACGGCCGTTTTTTCAAGTTGTTTCGTTGTTAATTTGAAGAAATTGAGCAAAACAGGAGCTTGAAGGTTTTGGTAATTCGAAAATCGAGCAAAACAAGAGTTCATTTTCTCATTCAGTCTACGTATCCCCTAAAGCGGAGTCATGCATTAGTTGCTTGAGTGGATGGAAAACAAAGGGGTCTTTTGGTCAAGCCGCAAATGTCATCTCAATAAAACACTCCCGTATATCAAAAACTTCAAAGGACTGTGTGTTTGATTTAATTCACGACTGACTATTTTTTCCTGTACTTTGAGTTTCTCGTCTCAGGAGAGATCTCCTTATAGTTATACTATATTTTGGCCTTCCAATTGATCCATTGTTCAAATGGAAAGGAGATTCACAGCTTTAACCCTTTAAGAGAGGCGACAGAAGCAAAAATTCAACTTTTTTTTTATTTGCTCCAAAAGACCCTTATATTGAACTGTTTTCAAAAATAATATTCCAAAGTTACAGCGAGTTTTTATTTTGGCAAAAATACGAAAGTTCGAAATCGGCCAAAACGTACCAAATTTGCATAATTTCTGTCTGTCTTTCAGTACATTTTCACAACACTCGTACAAGACAACGAAAAATTATCTTGGATTCATTTTTTTATAAGTTGTGTTTCATTCCTTGGAGTAGCTTTGCAACTATATTTCATCTCCAACTGAACTTTTTTTCGTTTGTAACCACCCGCGTAAAGTACACTATCTTTTCTACTCCGTTTGTACGCTGAATTTTGCCATATATATAAAATGAAAGAGCTTCTTTCAACGAACAACTCTTCGTGTTTATCGTGTGAAAATATTATCCTAGGCCCGAGAAAAGCGAGCGCGCCAGACCAAAATATATAGCGTGCATTTTCACGGAGTTCGGCCATTTTCTTGCTATACTCCTACTGCAAATCATACGCTATTCGGGCAAAACACGACGTGTTTGGTCTCTACTTCTGTTTTGATTCATTTAAATATATCGATTTTAACTTTAAACTTACCCTACCTTTATTGTTAAGTGAACAAACCTCCGTTTTAGGTAAAGTATTTAAGTTTATTTTCCTCGAGTGCTAAATAAACAAATCGCTGTTTACAAAGATACCAGCTCTGTCGACGTGTTTCTAGCTGAAATTGGCCTGTCGCTTATATTGTTCTTTAATTTACAATCTATCCCACTGGCATAACTTTGGAGTAAATTACATGTAACTATAAATGTTGTTGTTAATACGTGAGCGTGAGCTAAATAAAATCTTCGCACACATAAAATATTCGAAACATGTAGTTGTCGCAAGAAAATACTCCTTTAAAGGTCTTAATGGACCGCCACGTTGTCCAAACGAAACCAAGTTTTTATGTGAGACATACCAAGGCCGGGGTACTCTTGAATTTGGGAGTTTTCTTCTTAGTTTCAGTGCTAGATACCACACACAAAATAACAAAATGGAAAGATAAATAAAAGGAAAAATTTTAAAGGAATATGAGGAGAAGAAGGAAAATTTGTTACCTACCAATGTTTCTTGAAGATTCGCTTTCCAAGGTCCCGTATATGTTTGTACGCAGGCTTATTCTAACAGCTCTCAGTTTTACGTTTACGGTTAAAACAATCGACTGAAGGAAGTTTAAAAGAGGTTTTAAAGAAATTACTTTTTTGAGCATTATTTAATTATCCAGGTCCCTGACATTCAGTTTCATTAAATTTTTCCATGCATGTTGATGTACAAAAGACAATGGAGTTTTGATGTTATGGCACATTTTTCACTCGCTTTCCAGCAATTGTGTCAAGTCTACCGTCATCCTTTGTTATTTGGCATTGCTACTATAGTATTGTAGTCAAAATTTTAGCTCTTTATGTCTCAGAGTTGATCAACATCTCAACTCTTCCATGTGATTCCAATCTTGTACATAGGTCATGAGAATAGATTGTTTTATCTGTCGTTGGCTGCTAACTTCACCTCACACAAAATCCTCCTGTGTAATTTATAAGGAAATGTATAGCAGTAAGAGGGGGGTGCTACTGATTGGATCTTGGGAGTTAAAGACTTACCTTCTTTTTAACATAAAGTTACGACTGTTTACTCAGAGGCGTTGAAATTGACATAGTTTAGAGATTCATCAATTTCTACTCATAGTCCTTAAGATCGAAGACATATCTTTTGATCGAGACGAACGAGACATAGAGACTGTCCCTAGTTTCTTATCGCACTATCGCCTACGGAATTGTTACAAGTTCAAACAATTACAAATAAGCGGCGTTTTCACACAACATGAGGCCGACTTTTTAAAGCAATATTTGAACAATGTGAAACAAAGAAATTCAACTAACGTGAATTTATCTCCAAGTGTTGCAAATTAGTTCTAGGAGCCAATGCACCGTTAAAAAGGTAAAAAGTTACTAAATAACTTTTTGTGGAATTTTACCTTTTACAAAGTTGTTATTAGTTCCTACGGAAAAACATATTATTTAGCTAGTCTGTCAACAATGAAAGGTGAACCCCCCGATACGTGGGGTTGTAGTTGTTTGGAATGTAGGACTAATTGATAGTTTTGTTTCCAGTCAAAAGTTGAATACACTCCAAAAGCCTTCATTATTAATCCGACTGCGCTGGAAGAATCAGAAAGGTAAGATGTCATCGCTTCCTTCGAAGTAGTTATGTCCGATGTTGTATGTTGAGTAAATTTTGTTTGGGAAGATTCAATATACAAAGGGTGACTTTGTAACCGAGAGAAGCTAAAAGGGTTACATGTCAAATTAAGGTCTGGATGATATTTTTCATAATCGAAGCAAGAATATTGGAAGTACTCTCGCCAAAGCAAGATGTAAGAGAAAATCGTTGGATAAGTCAACACAATTTTAATAGTATAATTTAATTTAAATTTCGTCGCTAATCGTCCAAAAACATTTGAGTCGCAGTTTCATATTAAAGTTTTACCCCTCAGTTTTTAAAAGAAATGAACAGATGTGGTTTATTCAAGAGACGAAAGCTCAAAAGTACAAAGTCTGAATATAAAGAAAAATTCCATAAAATGGAACTCAGCAGTATGAAAACCAACACGAATAAAATAATCTGTACCATGAAATTTATAATTTAGAGATTCAGCAAAAGATCAATCGACGGGTCACTCTTGTGTGAAATTAAACGAGCTACGTGGCATTGGTGATTTGTTGACCAGTTTGAAGCCTTACAGCTGGAGGGCGAGTACACTGAAAAGTGCACAGAATAGGAATTTTTTTTCTTTTTTTATTTAAGTTAAATTTAAGGACAGTGCATGAACATGAACGGGCCTTGCATTGGTATCTTATGAACTAAGAAGACTCACCCTTCACTGCTCGTTCAGGGGCAGCAATTTGGTTTCAATCTTTTCCTTTGCGACTTTAAACAAACAATATTTTGTTTTATTTTCCATCCGCAGGATCAAGAATTGATTCTACATGGCTATTAAGTTTAAAAATGATATCAACAGAAAGCAGTTTTGTAGTACAGTGATTTGATGATTTCCTTTCATTTTCCCACAGATGCCAACCGCAGGCAAGGACATTATTGGCTTGTGGCTTATCGTATTGGCTGCAGTGAATCTTTCCCAAGGTAAATAACGTTATAATCCATTCCACTATCAAAATGAATTCCTCTCATCTCTGCTGATAAAAATTACGGTATTATCAATTGTCAGAATTCTATACGTGGAACGAACAAAAATTCTCCTAAATTCCCAAAACTGGTTTCTTGGCTCAGTTGTCAGAAGCGCTCAACCAACCGGCATATGTAGGCACTGGTTCTATACTCGTCGAAGCTTTCTTCTGCAATGACGTTCGATTCACTTCAGTTAACCAGCTGTAAAGAACACATCTTTCCTTTCCATGTGAGAGATACTAGGCTTTCATGTATTCCGGGTTTATAGCCCTGAATTGAAAGAAATTTTTGGTAAAGTATGCTCGGCAAAGAGATTGATTTCTTACAGGTCACTAGATTCAAAGGCTCACCAAAGATGAGTTTCAAGTTAATGCATTTTTCTCTCTGTTTAGCCGCTTCATCCGATTGTAAGAATCCTCCATTAGACATATCTATCGTGATCGATCAAACAAAGAGCGTAGGAGCGGACAACTATGACGCCATGTTGGATTCGGTCATGGCACTCATTTCGCAGTATGATGTCGGTGAAGACAAGACACACTTCTCCATCGTAACTTATGCCAAAGATGCACAAGTTCGTGTCAGCTTTGACGACCCAAAATATCAAAATAAAGCGGCTCTTCGTGCACTCATTGAAGAAATGAAGGAGAAGGACAAGTTGGGGAACCCGACGAGGACTGACAACGCCTTGAAAGTGGTCGGCGAGGACGTGTTCAACGAAAAGAATGGAGATCGACCGGAATCACCAAACGTCATGATCATCTTCACTGACGGAGGAACGCATAAGAGTTCCGAACCCTACAGTGCCGTGCTACCAACTCTTGAGGTGAGACCGTAAAACAGACAGTCTAAATCTCATCAGTTCGGGGAAGTAAAAGAAACACTTCATCGACTCAAATGCAAATAATGACGAACGGTGTTGGAGAGCGGCTCATTGAATTTTTTTGTTTGCAGCGCCCCAAATCAATTTAAAATTATTTTAAAAAAAAAGGGTTATTGAATATTCATTTACTTTTTCAATTGCTTGTTCATTGCTTGCTTTTTGCAAGCGCTATGGCATGTCGTAGCTTCTCAATAGTTAAAAAGTAGTGATTTCTTGACTGCCGATTGTTTACGTCTCTCCGATAAAATACCTAGGTACTTTCTTTGTTAATCGTTTTCATCAACATTAACAAATGAGAAAGTGACTTGTAGATGAGAAAACTACTGAAAAATTGTTCTTCTCGGGCTAATAGCAATTTACACGTGTAACTGGTCTTAAAAAGAAAAAATAAAACCTCAGCGAGCACTAAAGCCTTGCATTCCAAGTACTGGGTCGGTGCTTTCATCAACTAAGCAACGAGGCCACGTCATGCTGGGTGTATGGCAAATTTAGTTGGATTTTTGATCCCCATAAAAAAAAGAAACCTGGTCACGTTATTGTAGACGCCGTTCGATGGAAAGGCTTAAGTTGCAGGTTATCATTTAAGATCAACTCATTGCTGGTTAGAATTTTTCACTTTGCAGATACTATGGCAAGCGCTATCATGCTTCTCATTTCTGTCCCACGTCAATTTGTCACCTTGTAATCACACATATAACGGCTAAAAAGCAACTAATATAAAGAGAGACGAAAAATAAAGGCTCACAATTGCAATCTCTCCACGCAGGAAAAAGGAATACAGCGAGTGGCTGTGGGGATTGGTAAAAAAATTAAGCAGGCAGAGCTTATAACTATTGCTGGAGACGAGAATCGAGTAGTTAATGCCAAAAATTTCGAAGACTTGAACAACCAGTTGGACGATATTCGCGAAGCTACTTGTAGTAAGTAACATCTTCCTTCAATTAAAGAGAGATTAGTTGACTTTAATTCTTCGTTTTCTGTCTGCTTTTACTGCTACATCCTAAGACGAATTATGATGTTGAGGATGTAGTTTTTGGAGACATCACGCCACCGAGACACTATTCGGTTTTATCCTAACTTTCCTTGGGAGAGTAGCGACAGCTAAATGGTGTTTACTAGATTATTTGCCAAAGGATTATCTCATGATAGTTCAGTAAAGGTTAAGTTTGTCTTCGAGCCCAATGGCCCACCATGGCCAGCCGGAGCTTTTCCCAGTTTGCTCGGTATGACATCATCAGGAGTGACCCAATCCCTTCTTGGATGGCATTCTAGTTCATCGTAGGGTTACCTCCAGCATTTTATCAGGCATCCCTGACAATTCAGTGCTACTCATTTATACTCCTGGGTGAAGAGGGGTGCTGTCAGGGTAAAGAGTTTTACCGGCGAGGTCTCGAACCCAGACCTCTCGACCTGCCGCTGGAATTCAGCGCACTAGTCACTAGGCCACCTCGTGTCCTGCGCTCTTTATGTAATTAATAAAATGATTCCTTAAGCAGGAGATGACTGAGAAATTCACAAATAATTTTAATGTTTGATTGCTGCTGTATTTTTAGACATTGATGGAGGATATACCGAGTGGTCCGAGTGGAGCGAATGCACAGCAACTTGTGGTGGGGGAAGTCGTTCTCATTCTAGAACCTGCACCAACCCGTCACCAAAAAATAAAGGAAAAACTTGTATTGAACAGGATCTGGGTCCTAATATGGAATCTGAAGAATGTAACACCCAAGACTGTCGTTAGTATAATACATTCACTTCTCTACATTTACTTCTCTTGTTCTTAAATATCCTAACCAAACTATGCACAGTGAGTATGCTATTAATACTTGCATGCAACACTTTGGTAAAAGGAAAATTTAATTGTTACAAAAGAAGTTTCTCTATTTTTATATCGGTAATTGAAGTAGCATTTATGCCAACTATGTTTACGTAAGGTAATGTTTATCACCTTTTTAATAAACAGAAACATGTCCACTTTTAGATGGAAAGATGTGAGTTGTTCGGTGGGAAGGGTGGGTAAAATTATTAGCTTTGTCATAACTTTCATTGTTTCACTGTGTGACAAATGAATGTAAAAACAAAAGGGAAGGTAATACTCTATCTGAATGATTTTTCTTGAAACTTACTCAATACTAAAAATAAACCTCAGGCAATTTTGGATCGAATCAAACCTGAAGAATATTTAAACCTTAATTAATCTTAGCAGTTCTGCGTCAACCCTACCCTGACAATGTCAATCTTGAAGTTAGGAGACACCCCGCTAGGAGATGCAAATGATCGGCTTCTTGATGCCCTGGACTTCGGATAGAGCCTTGTCCAGGTCATTATGCTGTGTTAAGAAAGACGATTTATTCCCACAAATCAACTCACCAGCTCGAAGGGTATCATTAAACCGCCGCATAAACATGAGAGGGAGGAGGGGGGAAGGGAAGTGGGGAGCGTTACAACGGATTGAGATCCCATCCTCTTTAAAGTGACTCTGGGATAAACTCTTACATGATGGCCCCCCTGGTTCCAAAGCTGTTTTTTTCTTTTATCCTTATCTTAATGGCACGTCTGATTCCAGAGCTGACTTTTTCCGTATCTTCAACATTTTATCATCAAGGCCCAACTCCACTTCCATCTCCACCCAAACCTTGCAAGGAACATCTCGACGTTGGTGTCATAGTCGATTCCTCCAACAGCATCAGTTCTGTTGATTACAATAGAGCACGTGATTACTTAGTTCGACTGGCTCAAAGACTAGAGGTTTCCGAAGCTGGAACACATATGGCGATCCTTCTCTACAGTTGGGAAGCACATCTCTGGCACAGGTCTGTACATTCATGTCATTCATAGGGAACGTCTGAGTTTGGAGATGAGGCTGAACTTTCCAATTTTTTTGTGAGGGGAGGAAGGAAGGGGAGGGTGAGGCGGGTGAGGTTAAATGGGACGTAAGCCTGTGAAATGTTCTTGATGTTTGAAGTTGGTTTAGGTTACAATTAAATCAATGCATTTATAAATATAAACTAATAAATTATTTCTAGTTTTCTATCCTGAAGATTTCAGTATTTTCGTAGTTACAGCCAACACTTTGAGTTTTTTTCATTGCATCATGAATATCTTATACTCTTACACTTGATCCCAAAGACTTGCACAACTCTCTTCCTTCAATTATTTTCTCCTATCAATGCTTTTCAGATTTACCGATCCGCAAAATATTGATGCACTAACAGCCAAAGCCAGAAGCTTGCCGCATATTCGAGGTGGAACAAGAACAGACAGAGCTCTGGAACTAGCAGCGGAGGAGTTTTTTGGTTGGGACAATAGTGGAGACAGACCCGATAAACCAAATGTGCTACTTGTGCTGACTGATGGTGACACAAACGAAGGGAGTAAGCCATTCAGTCAAGTTATTCCTCCTTTGGATGTAAGTTATCTTTCAAATAGCAGATCGAAACGTTTGGATAAACCCGAGAAACTAACCATTTAAGCTCTTAAAAATACTTAATCTCCCACTAAAAATTCTTCTTAGGTTGAGATTGATATAGCCAATTAATCTCTTTCTGTACAGAGAGTCCTCGGATTTCACACCCCAGCACTATCTTCCTATCTAATTTTGCAGGATGCAAGCGTAAGGAGAATTGCTGTCGGAATTGGAAGTGGAATAGATATCTCGGAGCTTCAACAAATTGCTAGCGCCAATCATGATGTACTACAGGTTTATGGGTACCAGCAGTTAATCCCCAAACTAGAGTCCATAATGACCAAGGCTTGTGAAGATCAGTATCCAGGTAGGTTGACATGAATATAGCATTGATAGAAACTGTCAACACTGGGTTAAAATTTGGCCCTTTGTGATGGTACCATTACTATGCAGTCTGTTCGATTCTACAATGACTGTTCAATCCATGAAGAGTTCAGGCTTAAATCAGGTTCTTCCAGATTGTTCTGTCATTTTCTCGCTGCTTCCAGTTACCTTCTGCATTCAGTGTTCTTCCGAGTCGGGTTTCTTTTCACTGTCTTTCAATCGTAGCCAAGGCCTTCCCTCTGTGATAACTTCTACAAAATAACATTTTCTGAGCAAAAAATGCAATTTAGGTGTGTACGCTTATTTCAGGTGTGTACGACAACATATAATACAAGGCTTCTAGAATATATGACCAGGATGATATGATCGTAAATAATCGTTGTGTCATAGGTACATGCATGATGTATATAAGTAGGACACACGGGTTGAGTTTCCCATTAAATCAGCATTTCCATCATTTCTTTCAGACCCCTTTTTCATTTTACTTTTCCTTGATTGTAATTAGGTGATTGTGGTGAGTGGGGATCTTACGGAGGCTGCAGTAGGAATTGTGGTGGCGGAGCGCAGGTTCGTACCAGAAGTTGTCCTCCTAAAAGTCTACATTTAACGAAACAAAGGAAGCATTGCAACACAAACCTTTGTCCAGGACAAGGTAAATACTTATTATTAGTTTAATCGATTGTTATCATATTTGCTACTGTTTAACGAGGATTGTTATCTTGCACAGTCATCGGATGGTTAACAACAATTTACCGAGGTGGAGGTGGCTAGTGGTGAATATTTACCGAGCGGCAAAGCAGTGAAGCAGCGAGGTAAACATCCACTGTGAGCTACAGACACTGAGGTGAATAGTTGTTTTGTATATACTTAAACGGTGAGTTAATACAGCTCGAAAAGATGATTTTGAATCATCCATTCTTATAACGATTACAATATTTTCGGGTACAAATCACACGCGCGTTGCTCGGAGGTGAATCGCAAAAGATATTCGAAGTTTTAGTAGCCAATCAGAACACGCCTTCGACGCTATTCACTGTTTTAGTTTATAGTAACTAATGATGAGGGATTTATTTCACAATCAAATTTGCAGTTTTTTAAAACTGACTTCGTCAAATAGGCGCTTCACTGAATAGAACACAGTTCAAAAGTTCTGCCAAAAACTGTTGTAACATTTGTTCCGCTGAGGTCCAAACTTGGTCGGGGTGGCAACATTTGCCATCAGATTGATGTTAGCCTCTTTCAAACGACTTTGCTGTAGTATTGTGATAGTAGTGCTAATAATAATAGTAGTAATAGCGGAAGGTAAAAAACGAGCAGGAGTGTTTTATCGGGTTTAAAACCACGAGGCGTAGCCGAAGGTAAAACTCAAAAACATTCTTAGTGACAATACTTTATTAATTCATTACTCTTTAGAGCCTAATAAGGATGAGGTTTATCGATATGTGAAGACCCTTATGAATTATTAATGAGTTTTTGAATAATTGATTACTCTTCAGAGCCTTGTGAAGACCTTGCAGGGGATTGCGCAGTCAGAGCTGCTAAAGGAGACTGCTGGAGGACCGCTAATGTACCTTCCAGTCAACACTTGCTCTACGTTGGCAGGACGTTTCCTTTGTGGAACACTTGTCCAAAAAGCTGCAGACGATGCAATGGTATAAGTACAAAGGCGAAGATTGGCCTTTTTCAGTCATCAATCATTTTCTTTATAGTCTTCTTTTTCATATTATAATTTTCATTCTTCATATTTATCCTTTTCTTTGTCTTCCTTCCTCTTGATATTTTATGAGAATTTTACTTTCCATCTTCTTCTTCCTCTTGTTTTTCTTGTTCGCCTCCTTGCCATTCTTTTGTTTTTATTCTTAAACTTCTTCCTTTTTTCTCTCTTTTTACGGATTGCCTTCCATGATATTCTACACGTATTTTACTTCCTTTCAGTCGATACCTCTTGTCAAGATGGCGATCCCTATGTTTGTCCTTGGTGGTCAGTAGCTGATCGCAATAGGTGGAAATGCCGCTATGCATGGCGACAAGGCTGGACTCAGTACTCTCTAGCAAGTGAGCAGTGAAGTCGTTGATATAGAAAATGCTCCCGGAAGATGTACATCTTCAGGAAGCTGAGAAATGTTCCGACTGCTTGAGATCAAGGCATTAATTTTCATTTTAAAATAGAAATATCGGAAGGGATTGGTTTGTTTTGCTTTACTTCGTTTTATGATTGGTCCATAAAACTCGCGCCACTCACATACGCTTGAAGTGGTTGAGTGTTTTTTACGTTTAGTTCTTTTTACCTTTTGACTGCTCGTGATATTTCCGTTTCATCTGATTTGCCGTTTTTTACGCTGGTTATCGAAAAAAACTTCGCAAATGTAGATAAGTATTGAAAGAAAGGACTTTTTTTCAATTCTTGAGAAACAACGACGTGACGAAGTGAATGCGTGCAGTGAAGACAACATCTTTCCAAGTCATTAGGTGCTCACCAGCAACTTGAACAACTGATATAGTAATAATGATTAATGACGAGTTCACATTCTGGCGAACCCGATTTCAAATTCTAGTCAATAATGATCGGGTTTATTATCTATTATCTAAGTGAACCCCTTAAAACAGTTGGCCGATAATTTAAACAGACAACGGGAAGTAACTTCTCTATTAGAGCAATAAGGTACGTCTTCTATCGTTTTTCAATTAAAAATTGCCCACTCGGAACCTGAACCTCCTGAGAAGCTGATAACGAAAGAATAGTTTTTGTCTGTCTCACTTGATTTTGAAAAATACCCCATGAAGTGAAGTGTGTGTTATCACTATAATTTCGTTTCTCTTCATCCTTCAGACTATTGCAAGAAAAGTTGTGGCAAATGCAGCGGAGGAGGCGGCGGAGGAGGAGGAGGAGGAGGAGGTAGCCATTTCATATCAGCCGGTCGTTCAACAGCATAACCTAACCAGAATCCGCTCGACACCCTTTTTTCATGAATTCGGAAAACGTTGTTTTCATTCTGCTCCTATGTCCCAATAGAGCTCTGATACTGGCCAGTATCACCTCATTTGATATTGCAACCTCTTCAAAGAAATTTAGAAATAGATCTCATGCATAATTGATGGTACGGGGCTAACATGCATTTCTAGATGAAATAATTTAATCGACCCATAAAATCTGTTGAAAACGAAGTAATAATCCCTTTCTTGGGCTGGCTTGATTAACAAGGCTTCTAATTAAATGACACACTAGGTGGTTATACTGATTGGACTGAACAAATCATGACACGCAGGGGGAGGGGTTCAGACACGAAAACGGACATGTACCAATCCCCACCCTCTGGCGATGGGCCAACACGTCTTGAGCAAAAATTTAGACCCGCTAAGAATCGAAAGAGTTGATGTGAGACGTAGTAGAGTTATGGTCAGCCCTTCTTCTTAACGTTTGGGCTTCTTTCAATTGCAATCTTTTAGCATGTCAGGATTTCAACGTCTATTACTGTCGGATTAAGGTTAAATGGCCAGGCTGCGGCAATTATTATGTGAGAGGTAAGCAGTGTGACTTTTATTCGAGTCATCCATCTTATTAAGGATGAATTGCTTATTGCAGTTTATAAGTAGCCTGGCCAAGAAGAAGCATATAGCTTCTTGACGAAAAAATCCATATCGAACATCACTGTCATCGAATTTAAAGCTATAAAGCTCTTCGTGCGTTTCAGGTGCGAGAGAAAAGGCTGGGTGCGGTTGCTTAAACCACTGCAATTTATTAAGGCGTTAATACTTCACCATGTTTAAGATAAAGCCTGCTCCAGTGTTATAACCTTACGTCAAGTGCCAACAGCGAAAGGCTTCAGTCGCATTCATTTCCTGCTGAAATCTCACTGACTTACATAAAAGTCAAATCTTATTTCTTGCATATTACCAGAAAAGCACTCGCCTCGGACATGGGATCTGAACCCGGCTGGTAAAAAAAGACTAACGTTAAGTCGTCAGAGATGTTGGAAATTGTAAATTACGCTGGGACAGTTATTACTTAACAGACGAGTGTAACAAGACGAAGTATACCTGCTCCCAAAAGAAATTCGTCGGGTGTTTAATGCTTTCCATACTTCGAACAGCCACACTGATGGAGATATTTCAATCAAGTTTACCTCGTTTTGTCTTATCTAGCATCACTTCACTCGTCTTATTTGATGATGAACATGATCATTTTGTCTTATTTCAAAGATTGATCAGTTACTCAACCATTTATTTTTTCAGCCAAATGCAAGAAGAGTTGTGGCCTTTGCAGCGGAGGTTAATATTCTTTCCTCTCTTTTATAATCCTTGAGTTTTATGATATGCACTAAAGAGTAGAGATCGCCTTGCAATAACTGTTCTTTCAATCTCAGACAATTTATTGATATTTAAGTGTGGGAGGAGAATTTCTTTGCCTATCTTGTCGTCAATGTTCAACTCTCTTACTCTTCCTTAAATGCCTCCTAGGGTTTAAAATCCCTGGGAATGACTGCCAACTAATTTCTCCTCAGAGTACCACCTCTGAATCAACATTGAAGTCGTTAGAATAAATGAGATGATCGATAACTGAAGAGGTTCTTGAACGTTTTACAGATCAAATTCTCCTTGTTCATACCATAAAAATAGAGTTGAGAAAAATGTGGAGAATATGCCTCCTGATGTTAGCGTGTTAAGGGTTAAACTATCACGAAAACGAAGAGGGATGTGAGCAGCTACACACCTAACTATGTTTCTGTGCGTTGTTCTTTTCAATTGGATACCGTGCTCAGATTGGGTAAAATTTCTCATACACGCAAAAAAAACCATTGTGTTATTCTTCCTTTCATTCAGGGAGTGGAGGTGGCGGTGGCTGGGGACGTCGATAAAAACGTGGCACTAAGCTGAGGTGATTTTACAGTTTTTATTTAATCATACTTACCTTTAGCCAGTGAGGGGTTCTGCCCTCAGATCCCATCACATTCACTTTACAGAGGTGCAAATAGTAAAATCTACGATTGCCATTGATTCCCCGCATCTGGGGCTGGTCGCAGAATACAACTGTCAAACGATCAAGGAAGGTGTCTAATGACAGTTTTCTTTTTCTCCTTTTTACTGTTAATATACTTCTGCTAAAAATGTTGAACAAAATTTACTGACTCCGTGTTTCCAATGTTTTTAATTTGCTTTTAACTTTTAGGTTTCTGGTTTTCCAATAATTATTACGCCAGCTGAAGAATGGAGAACGAATGTAATAGGAGATACGTCATGGCTCAGTATTGTAGGCAGGGATAGCAAATAAACACTGAAATTAAGAGTGTGCTGTCTGTAATCTCTGGATGCTCACCATTTAAGCTCTGGGCCTGATTCTCCCCAATATAAACTTATAGATAAAAATTAATCGGGCATTCCAAACTTATTCGGCTTATTTTTTATTAACGTCAACAACCACTAAGTAGTCGAAGTTTCAACTTCATGCCTCAACGCGCATTTATCGTCACCTGATCAGTAATTTGTTCATTAATTAATATAAGACATGTTTTTAAAAAGGGCTTATCCTTAAAAACCAAAACTTCTTAAAAGTATCACTTTCCTTAATTAAAAGTATCGTTCTTAACAATCACTAGACTTAATAATTCAAAATTCCTTGAAATTGCCAACCCACCTAAGCTCTCCCTAAGATTTACATTTTCAAGTTTCCCCCTTTGAGACTCTTTGAAATGGAACGGAGCAAACTTAGCCGGTTTAAATGAATGTAACTTACCTTTCAAGCTATAAAATAACAACCACAGGACAAGGTACCAACGTTGCTTAGGGGCCCCGGTCACGGGGGAGAAATTTTCCAGAGGGCGCCCGTGGCGCTTCAGTTTTGGAAGGTTTTTTTTTTTTAGTAAGTCAGAAACATGCATAGACACACAGACTTTGCGATTCAGGTAGAGTGCTATTTCGACTATTGCCAATCCATGGACGTCACCAGACTACTTAGAAAGTTTACCTCCTCCATTAAACCTCTCTCCGATTTTCAAACATTTGTTCAACGGGAATTTTGATTAAGAAGTGTTTTAAAATGATCATCAAATTTCGTTCACACATTGTAAGAGAAGCTAGAAATCCTCGAGATTGATTGAGTATTGTAAAACCAAGATACTCCATAGTAGTCACTATAATAGCGAAAGAGTTATCATTTCAACTTAGAATCTTTATAAAAGATAAATAAAAGTTAAGATAACTAAGTTAGATAAATACAAACAAAAATTGAATACGAACAAAGCGAAACGGAAAATTAATCATATTGATGACGTCTTATATCCAACTGCAAAAGCGAATAACTTTGAAGTTGAAGAAAAAATTAATGACGGAGAAGTATGCCAAGCGTAACTTTAGGTAAACTGACTTGAAAAAGGTAATTAGAAACTGGCTTTATGAATAGGAAGACTGCGTACTTAGCTGCGGTATGAAAATTATGCAAAAAAAAGGTGCAATTGACAAAATAAATGAGAACAGACCTACAAAAAAAACAAACAAACAAACGAAGAGGTATGAGAAATGAAAGACGAAATAGATAAACACAAAATTACAAAAAAAAATAAATGGCAAGCGCTTTAGATCTAACAGCTACCATGGTCAGTGCATGAATAACTATGAATATGTAGACGACTTCAACCGCTTATAAGACACAAGAGACAAAGTCAGAAGCTCGTTGAATAACACTCATTTTTGCATAAAAACTGCTGCATGCTTCACACTTGAGATAAGTGAATGACAGAATGCCAAAGATTCAATTGCTTTAGAAGTCGATTATTCATTTTAAAATGTAAACGTTGCTTTTATGAAACTTTTGTTTGAGTCGCACAGGAAAGTGAAAAGTACACGATTGCATTGTAACTTCTCCCCTTCACCCAGTGGAGAACAACAACCAAAATGTATAACGTTTGTCGGGGATTATGTGGTGTTGTTTGTTCTTAAATTACTGACCGACGTCGCGGCTTGAAAATGCTGTACCTATATAAATAAAATTAAAACTCACGAAACTTCACGAAAGGGTTACTGTGCCTATGGACAGGGATAGGAAAATCCGGGCCACGCTAAAAACAAGTCAGATTCAGAACTCGTCTTCGTGTGATATTTTCATCTACTATAGTAGACAATTTATTTTTCCTGAAAACATTTCCATGACGCTCTGGTAATAAATCTGATTATGTGAACAAAACACGACGCTTAAGTTTAGAAAACATATTTCGACAGAAGCGTCAAGTATCTAGAAAACGCATCGTGAAAACTCAGAGGAAATTTTTCTTTGGAAAGAGGACATTTTACCGTTTGAATCGGCGACTGATTATACCGATGAAGCCAGTAATTTTGAAAAAAGCATCTCGTGGGACGACAAACATCACGTATCTTGATCACGTTAAACTTGTGGTTTTGAAAAAATAAAATTAAACGCTTTTTCAAATCAATTGTATTTGTTTTTAGTCGCGGTTCATGCGAGCGGGAGACTTAATGTATAATTCTTCCAAACATTCAAACACATTCTTAGCTGACGACTAAAAGTTTCTAGGAAATTTTGATCGTCCTCATTCAAAGCTAAGGTACCATTTTTATGCCCAATCACTTCATTAAATTCAGTTCTTAAAAACGTCAAAGACTGAATCGTGCCCTTACTGGCTTGAATTGCTAAGTAGACGATGACAAACCTTGATATTGAGTACTTAACGCTTGACAGAAGATAATCAAGTCTAAGTTGACGTTGGAAAGGCTGGAGTCTATCTCAGAAAACCAAGGTTCAGGGAAAGAGATCCACACAGGTAACTGGAAAACTTTATTTCTTGCTTTTTCCTCGCTTAGCGTTTTTCCTTTCATGCTTCCCGAAAAGTTGAACCAGTTATATCGGATAATCATTTGATAAAGATAATAACTTATCTTAGCTAGGTTTCTGCTCAGCAGAGTATTTCAAAATGGCTCTTCGACTCTTCGAAGAACATCTTGTACAGTTTTTCACGCCGGAATGTCCGTTTTGCCTGCATCACCTCACATTTTTTCACTTTTGTGCAGTAATTTTCAGTAGTTAGTTTCAAAGTCACAGGTCTTAATATTTGAGCTTCTTGCCTTTGGGGTAAATTCTTATTAATATGTAGTTCTCAACACAGAATAGATTTATTGAAAGTAAATAATCCGAATTCCAAAATGTTTTAACGTGTTTGTATATCAGAGACATCCATTTTAGACAAGGCGCTTTATCTCAATCGATTCGAAAACAGTTTCCAGTTTCCCTTTCAATATTGTTCTAAAACATGCGAAGTTTATAAATAAAATGAGACATTCAAAGTCAATGCGGAGACATTAGAAAAACAAATTAGAGAAAGAATTAATGTTCTTTGTCTGTGTTCAGCAAGTTGTTCACAACAGTAAGAGAATTTTATATCACCTGTAAACACAGCCGTTTTTTCAAGTTTTTTCGTTGTTAATTTGAAGAAATTGAGCAAAACAGGAGCTTGAAGGCTTTGGGAATTCGAAAATCGAGCAAAACAAGAGTTTATTTTCCCATTCAGTTTACGTATCCGCTAAAGCAGAGTCATGCATTAGTGGCTTGAGTGGGTGGAAAACAAAGGGGTCTTTGGTCAAGCCGCATCTGTCATCTCAATAAAAGACTCCTGTACATCAGAAACTACAAAAGACTGTGTGTTTGATTAAATTCACGACTGACTAGTTTTTCATGTACTTTGAGTTTCTCGTCTCAGGAGAGATCTCCTTATAGTTATACTATATATGTTGGCCTTTAATTGATTTATTCTGCAAGTCAGCAAGTTCCCCTTTTGTTATACTTTGGATGAGTCTGGAGGAGGAAAAGCGATGCTTATAGGGGGGGGGGGGGGTGCAATGAGGGTGGAAAACAAAGGGTCTTTGGTTAAGCCGCATCTGTCATCTCAATAAAAGACTCCCATATATCAGAAACTACAAAAGATTGTGTGTTTGATTTAATTCACGACTGACTAGTTTTTCATGTACTTTGAGTTTCTCGTCTCAGGAGAGATCTTATAGTTATACTATATTTTGGCCTTCCAATTGATCCATTGTGCAAATGGAAAGGAGATTCACAGTTTTAACCCTTTAACTCCCCGATCAAGTTTGTAATTCTCCTTACTGTCAATCATACAATTCTTTTAGTGTTAGTTCAGAAAGTTTAATATTGGATCAACTTATCATCCCCAAAATGATATTTTTCTTTATTCTCATCACGTATCTGGTTGACATTGTATTGATATTGTAAGGAGAAATTCTGTCTTGGTCACTCATGGGAGTTAAAGTGTTAAACGAGGTAAGCGCTCTCAACGGAGTGCACTTGTGCACACCTCCATGATAAGCTTGTTGATATCCGAGAAATGACTTCGAACCGAGTAATCTATCTTCAAACATCTCATGAAACACACTTCATGGCCTTCTCTGTATCGTACAACTATTAATTTGCTATTCACAAGTGCTGCGTGGTGTTTACGACAAATAGAAAGCGGAAAAATGATACCTTGTCTGTATCAACGCGTGCAAACCTCCATATCGAGTAACTCTATACATAGAGAGTCAAGTCAGAGTTGGTAATCAGTGGAAAGGATAAGATTGTTATAGGGAAACTAGGATCACTTTAGGAACATAATTTTCGGTATGAAGACGTGTTCCTTTTTTTCCTTTCGCTTACTGTTTTGAAACCTGATAACATCGATACAATTAAGTGGAACTTTCTGCCAATCGTTCAGCACCGTTCAGGATGAGAGCTTGATTATCATGTTAGTTAAGTTGCTGCTCACAGGGTTTTTTTTGAAGAGATCCAAGATTTTCTGAAGCTCTTCCTGATATGTTTCTCGTGAAAAATATCAGGTTTGACCATAGCATCTTCATTAATGCTACACCTCTCATCTCTGTTCAAGAAACTCGTCTGGCTATTTTAGAATAGTTTAAACCTGTGGATGATTGTTCCGTTGAGTCGTGTATTTTTAATCTCTAACTTCTCCCACAAGGTAGGACACACTATTTATTTCTGCTTAGCTCTGGTAGAGTAATTGATAGCAAATTTCAATAGAGTGAGGTTTGAATCCTCATAAGAGACGGCCACATTTTATTTCTGCCTAGTTCTGGTAGAGACTTTGACAACAAAATTCAATAGGATGAAGTTTGAATCCTCACAAGAAACGACTCACTATCTTTTCCTACTAGGCTGGTACGGTATTTGAAAGTGAAATTTAATACAGGAAGGTTTGAATCCTCACAAGAGTCGATCTGCTTAGCTCTAGTAGAGCATATGACGGCAAAATTCTATAGAGTGAGGTTTGACTCCTCACAAGAGACGACCCACAATTTTTTTCTGCTTAGCCCGGTAGAGCAATTGATAGCAAAATTCAATCAGTTAGGTTTGAATCCTCAAAAGACTGGACAGACTATCTAATTTTCTCAGCTCAGGTAGAGCATTTGATAGAAAAATTCAATGTAGATTGCTTAGCTCCATGGGCTTCAATCGCCCATTATTTTTGTTATGTGAAGGAACCAAGTGTTTTAGGTCGTCTACAATTATTTTTTTTAAGTACTTTAGCTTTGAATGTCAATGAAGCAGGAGAAAAGAGAAGGTACACTCCCTGGTTGAATGCAGACACAGTCCTCTGATGGTTACAGCCGACAACCGAAATGAATCTAGAACCTTTGGGGTTTGAAACCTTTTTTTTTTACTATTATTGTTTTATCAAAAACAAAAAGGTAGAGCATTTGATGGTGAAATACAATAGAGTGAGGTTTGAATCCTCACGAGTCAGAACCCTCTATCTTTATTTGCTACCTTTTATTTCCTTTAGTTTAAATCCTTGACTGCCGCTGGTTTTACTGTTGTTGTTGGTTTTTAATTTAGCATTCGTTACCCTAGTATATATTACATATGGTACCTTTTGCCTCCTGTCACCACACGTGTCCACTCATAGTAGAATGTAAAGTTTCAGCTGAAAAGAAACAAGACTTGAAATTCAGTTGATAACACTAAATTACCCTGTGATACTCTCCCACCGACGCAGCACCACAGTTTCTTTAGAAGCCTAATCCCCATATTCATGTGTTATAATGTTCGTTACCAAATAAATTTATATCGAGAAAGTTAGAAAAAGGAAATGAGGAAAAATAAATTGAGCTTGTCAGTATTTAACCTATTCTTGATCTGTTGTCAAAAGTGGCCAATATGACAACTATTTTTATTGTACAAGTCAAAATAAGTCATGTTTTAACTTATACTCGGACAAATATCACCTTCGTGTCACTCTGATCACGTAGGCTGATAGATGAGTTTTCGCAGAACTTTTTGATTGATTCATATAGGGCAATTCAATTATTTGGACTTGTGCATCTTAAGACAGAACAGTACGCAAACTGAGCAAGACAACTTCTTTAGGTAAGGGATTTCTCTGTGTTTAAGAAAACGTTACATACATACATACATTCATACATTCTTTATTTGATAAGTAGGTTGTGTGAAAGGCAGCCAAAGGGCTGATGTGGACCTACTATACTAAATATTAAGAATTACATATATATAAAAATTGCAATAATAACTTAGAACTACTATATACAAATAAAATGGTGTTCACTAAGACTAACATATAAATCTAAAAGTAAATGAAATGGTCCTTTCTGTTGGCAACTACTGTTGCCTCTTTCTCAAATGAAAAATTGTCAATAGTCTTAACATGTTTACGTAAAATTTGTTTAAAAGAATAAAAACTTTCAGGTACTTTAACTAATCTATTTACAAAATTCCAAATAACAGGACCTCTGTATCGTAGGGAGTTCCTGCCGGTCTCTGATCTAAATCTAATGACATTAAATTGGTTAGGAACACGAGAAGATCTAGAAGAAACTCTTTTAGAAAACAGTTCACATATCGACTGGGTCGTTGTTCCAAAATATACTTTGTGCAAGAGAAACAGTACAGATTTTTTATAGAAGTAAGAGATGGGCATCCAGTCGGATTTCATGAGACATGTGTCATCTGCCATCGTTGAGTCGAGGTTATTCACAATACGAGCTGCTCTTGCATGAATATGGTTTAGAGAGTTCAGTGCGGAAGGAGAACAATTTCCCCATACCGAAATTCCATACGTTACACTGGGGATAATTGTTTTAAAGTATATTTCCTCGAGAACCTTCTTCGGAAGGATTCTCATTCTCTTCAACGCTCCAACCTTCTGCGTAAAAGATTTCTTCACTGAGTCAATGTGCACAGACCATGTCAGCTTATTGTCAATTATAACTCCAAGACAAGTGGTGTAATTAACCAGGTCGATATGGCCAGTGTTAAAGTGGAGGGGAGGTATAGGCCCAACAAAAGAGGTTTTACTTAGTATCATTGCTTCAGTTTTAATTGGGTGGATGGTTAGCTGATTCTTAATGCTCCACAGGAGAACTTGCTCCAATGATTTATTTAGTGACAACATAACCTGGTCAACATTTGGTCCAATACAGTAAACTGTAGTGTCATCTGCATACATGTATAGATCTCCCGAGTCGATGTGGTCAGGGAGATCATTAACATATATGGTGTAGAGCCGGGGGCCAAGAAGCGAGCCTTGAGGGACTCCATATCGCACATAGTCAGTGACCGACCTGCAATTATTAACTTCAGCAAATTGACATCTATCAGTAAGATAGCTCATTAGCCATTCATGAAGAGATCCTGATATTCCAATGGCGTGTAGTTTATGCGATAAAATATAATGGGGGACAGTGTCAAAAGCTTTCTGGAAGTCAATAAAGACTGCTCCAACTGTCAGACCATTGTCAATTGCTGTCTTCCATCCTTCAGTCATAGAGGTAAGCATTCCTTCAGTCGATAGTCCCTTGCTAAACCCCCACTGTTTACAGCTTTTTATGCCACAGCTGTTCAGATGGGTATCAATTATGTTGCAGATCTGGCTTTCGAGCAGCTTGCTGGGGATACTTAAAAGTGATATTGGCCTATAATTTGAAACATCTGCTGGGTTTCCTTTTTTAAAGATTGCATTAACTTTTGCAATCTTCCATGTGTTAGGGAAGCTGGACTGAGCCATGCTGCTCTTGAAAACAGTTACAATGCCCTCTAGGGCGGATGTTCCTGCAATAGCTAAGCTACGAGAAGAGATGCCATCAGGACCAGATGCTTTGTTAATTTTAATTGTCTTGATATCAGTTTTGAGTTTGTTGATGTTGACCTCCAAGACCTGCACAGTGGGGGTAACTCTGTACATGAATTGATGGGGTTCATCAGCTTCGGGGAATTTTTCAGCTAGTTCCTTGCCAATATTTATGAAGTAAGAGTTAATCAGTTCAGCTTTCTCGTAGTCATTTGTGATTTCCTTATTTTCAGCATCTCTGAGGGGGCCAATATGTTTATTCTTAGGTTTTCCAGTGGCCTCGTTCACAGTTTTCCAGAAAGATTTTGAGTCCTTGGTCTCTGTAAATTTCTTTTTCCAATATTGAGCTTCAGCACGTCGTAGCATCTTAGATACTTTGTTCCTAGAGGATTTGTAATCAACCCAGAGTTTATTAGTAGCGGGTGTGCCATCACAGGCTTTCAGAAGTTTATATCTCTTATTCATCTCTTTCCGGATCTCACTGTTCATCCAAGGTAGTGAATTTTTTCTAACCTTGGCTTTACGTAAGGGAATGTGACTGCTTGCAATAACATTATACATGCAATTCCAAGCCCAAGTGATGTCATCCAAGTCCTCAAAGGTGGAACAGACCCACCAGGGAGCACTTTCCAGGTCATGTTTGAAGTCTTTCGGGTTTTCCAACACGTTCTTGAAGTTGTGGACATATTTAATAAAAGGCTTTGGATTCCTGATCTTCAGCTTGTAGATAACGTAGATGAATTTGTGATCAGCTATGCAATACTCAATCACATCAGACTTTGAGACCTTTGAGGTATTGATCGTCAAAATCAGATCGATCAAAGTGTTAGAATGTGCTGAGGTTCTTGTGGGTGCTTTTATGATGTTACAAAAGTTATAAGATTGTAAGATGCGTTTGAATTTCGCACCATTTCCATTAGTAGCAAGCTGATCTGAATTGAAGTCACCAGCGATCACAACATTCCTGCGAGACATCCAAATTGTACTCAATACTTGGTTGAATTCATCAAAGAAAGATGTAACGTCAGGAGGTCTATATACACAACCCACAAGTAATCTTTGCGAGTGAGCTTTCAATTCAATCCAGAGAGCTTCAATGCCGTCGTTGTCATATTTGGATATACGTACACAATCTAGGCTAATGTTAAAGTAAATAGCGACTCCGCCTCCTACTTTGTGTGACCTATCTCTTCTCAGAATTCGGTATCCATCGATGTTTACTTCGTTATCGCTTATATCTTGTGTCAGATGCGTTTCAGAAATGGTTAGGATATCCAGGTTGGTATGCTGTAAAAGTATTTTCACTTCGGGGAGGTTCTTACGGAGGCCTCGCACGTTCGAGTGACCGATGGATACTCCTTGCTTTCCATTGTCTCTCACCACGTGAAGTGCATCAAACAGAGGGGAAGCAGGCCCCGGGTTAGGACATATGTCGCCACATAGTTGTAAATATTCAAAGTTGAAGCTTGCATCGGAGTTGCTGTAGTAGTTGACTCTCGAATTCCTGAATCTGACTCGAGCTTTCCACACGAATCCAATATGGCGGATATTGAGTCGAAACAAAATGGATGATATCGGTTTCAAAAACCAATGATTATCCCAGCTTTGCTTGTTTACTTTGACGAGGCGCATATCTAATCCGATGTGTGCATCTTTGCCACTTGAACATGCCAATATGTACAGAGAAAAGCCAAAAAGAAACCAAAGTATAGGCGAACTAAAAATTTTGCTTCTTCCCGCCATGATGACCGCTGACCTTACTAGTTGCAACATTAATAATTCGGTAATTTTTAGCGAGTTAAAATCAGACACTAGGTTTCCCCTATTCAGAGCGTTTGCATAGTGCGGCCTAGCTTTTTATACCTTGTTGGGACAAAATCAGCAGCTCCCATTTGGTTCTTAGAAGGACCAAATTGAGAGAAATTTTCAAAAGATTGAGAATTATCGGGGCTAATTCAGAGGTTGAAGGGGTCTAAATGGTACTCTTTGGACCTGTTTTGGTTGAACGGGCAAAATTAGCCCTCGAGACATTAGGGCTAATTTGCCCTTTGGGCTCAATTTGCCTCTTTTTATTTTAAAGTGTAGGAGTCGACCATTTTGGATTCCCGGAGCGTACACTATTAACAAAGAAGGCATCCATCCTTCTTTGGTTTAAGTTAGTTTTGCAGCCGCTGATAGGTCCACTGTTATCTCTTTATGAATTCATCGCACTTTGTTACTAAGTAATAATCTTAACAGCGAAATATTTTTTCAGTGTAGACCTAAAAAAATTTTGTAAATTAAAGTGAGTAAACTAATTACATTTCATTTCAGGGTTGGATCATTTGTCAGGAGCGAAATTTGTATCCAGCATCGAGTGTTTAACATCTCTCCTCACAGGATATTTTTGAAAATACAACTCAAAGACTTTCTGGGCGATTACAAAGGTACGAGTCATAAGAATTATTTGCGTCAACATGCTACTAAGCCTTTGGATGAATTCATAATTATTTTGTAGGTTGATTTTTATTTAATATTATGACATCGAAACGTGTATCACTTGAGACGCAACACAGTTTTAAGCAAAAATGACAAATTATCTACTTCTCACCTTATTTTCATCTTAGTTTTTCTGAATCGTTATCACTTATTTAAAATAAATTGATCAAAGTGGTTCTCTACACTCCTCAAAGACCAACGTCCCAAACAGTATGTAGCGATGAATGACACCAGTAAAAGACCATTTAAATTTTCTACTCTAATCTTAATAAGGAAATAGCCTGACCTCTTATAAAATATATTCTTTAGAGGTATAAAAACATAAATTGAAACAATCAAATTCTCCTTTGTCACTGTCTCAATAGCCAGTCAAGTTGAGGAGGCGATCGAAAAGTCCATCTGCTATTTATTATTCTACAAACTGTTTATTAAAAGAAAAGGAAATTTTTCCTTTTACTATTCAGTACTACCAAATCTTTTATACATATATTTTTACATTTATAAAACGTTGAGAAAATTTTCCTATCAGCTGACCGAACTATTTTTCTTCTATTGGTTTCCCGGCCTAATAACTTACGCGGGATGTTGGGAGAACACGAGAAAGGTTTGAAGATCTCGAGCCGGAGATTTTGAAAACCTTTTTGCGTGTTCTTCCAGCACCGCGCGTGGGCTATTTCGAAGTTTGTTACTTTTATAAAATAGGCTTAAAAAAATACAGGAAAATGTTTCAATCCTCTATGGGTTTACCGGCGCAATAAACGATCGGTTTTTGACCAATCAGGGCGCGTGCAGCATCTCAGTTATTTCATAACTTCAAGTTGTTTACTCATGTCGATCATGGAAAATGGATACTTAGAGATCATCTTATAATGGGTGCCGACGACGGTGTTTACAGATCGTAAACGGCAAGGTCCGAGGATTTGTTTAGTTGTACTGTCTACTGCTGACAAATTGTGATGCCAATCAGGGATAACTCTCGCATAGGGAAAATGTCCATATTCACTTACTAGTCGGTGCGTTTTGCTTTAATGTTCAGCGTATTAGCGAAATAAAATTGTACTGAAAGTTGTAAAAGCCGCCTAAAGAAAAACCCGAGAATTCGATCGCAGCAGTATTTAATATATTTAACATTTGTTTGGGTTATGATTGATTTTGTCCTTTTCTTGGCAGTGCAGGATGATTATGGTCCAGATATGTTTCCTCGTGGTTCTCGTATTATTTAACCTTACAAGCTCCAGTTCTCAAGAAAATATCACTGATAGTGAACGATTCAGCAAAGCAAATGCAACCGCTTGCGAGGAAGGAAGGTACGTGTTGAACAAATGCGAAGAACGCTGTGAATGCCGGGATGGCAAGCTTATGAACTGTTATCGCGTTAGGAAGGAATTCACTAAAATGGACATTAACTCAAGACGCCGCTTTCTTCGCACATACAAAATGGCTTCTAATCATGCTCTCTTCCGACGTAGCTTTGAAAAAGTCGTCGCTTATCATACAAATACCTCCCACCAACTTCTTCACCAAACTCCATTCATCTTCCTTCCGTGGCATAGATGGTGGCTGGTCACATTTGAAAACCTTCTCCGTAGAATAGATTGCCAGGTGACTATTCCCTACTGGGACTGGAGCCAAGTTGCTTGTCACTGGTGGAGAGAGTCTGGTGACGAAGACATCTGGAACCCAGGGGATCATGGACTGGGTGGAGATGGGAACCCATTCGCTAACTTCTGCGTTGAAACTGGGCCTTTTAGTAAGGATAGATGGCAACTGCTGAGATCCGTAGGGGGAGGGTGTTTGAAAAGAGTTTTCTCCTACGAATGCTTGACCGGTAGCACGCATCACGTGAAGAGAACTTTAGCTCAGCCAGTAGAAGAGTTCTTCAAATTTGAGGAAACAATACGCTATGTTTATCATTATGAAATTCACGAGTTCATCGGTGGAACGATGCTCGAGTCGACGACATCTGCCAACGCCCCTGAAGTAGTTTTACATCATTCGTTTCTGGACAAGCTCTGGCTTCAATGGCAGAAGAAAGGCAAAGACTATAAATATGTTTACTTCTCGAAAAGTCGCCGCAAACTTCCTCAATCAGAGTATTACGCCTGGCAGTGGTTGGACTCCAACAATCTTCCAGATCAAGTCAAAGTTCTGTACGAAGATTGGTGACACGGCACAGAGTGCTCCAGCATTCTCCTACATGCTCGAAAAGCATAAGTACTTATTGACCGAGAGGGTCAGACGGAAAAATATGCGGCTCGAGGTCATAACCTACGGACCGAAATCCGTGCGTCATGACCGAGAGCCAAATATTTTCCCGTCTCGCCCGATCAATCTGAGTCAATAAGCATTTTATCATATGACCAATATGAGCTGAAAATTTCTTAACTTTATTTCAACCCAAAGCAGGGCTTTCCTTTTTTTTTTCTTCGAGTCAGACCGGCTCACGTCAACCCACCCGACCCCACACAAGTTACCATTCATTATGGTTTCCATGGCATTGCGCGTGCGGGCCATACGGTCATGTGATAGGAACTTTCATCTGACAGGTAATGAAATGAAGGCAAAAAAATGGTTACAAAGATACCAAGCAGAAGTACAATTTACATTAAAAAGACGGATTTTTCTACGGCCGCATTCGCTAGCGGGTCACCATTGCGGATCTATTTTCCTTTTAAATCTTTACATTCTTAAATTAGCCTGCACATTCTCCAAACCATTCTCCATATATTTCATATAAAACTGATAAGGAGAATATATTTAGCAATCAAGAGCTTCATAAGTCTGCAATCGTATTCTCTATTATTTTGACCTTAATGTTTGATTCAGTTGTGATACTGTAGGGAGAAATTAGCTGCTAATCACTAACAAGGGTTAAAGGGTTGACATATGATGGGGGGATAGGTCTCTTCCTTGAATTGAAGTAAGTAAAGGTTACCGACAGATTCTATGTTACAGGGGTTGACTATCGGACTGGAAAAATATGAAGATCTAAGGTTCGATTCGTAAGAGATGTCCCAAGTTCGAGACAAGTCATAAACTTGTTTCTGCATCGGATAGCGAGGCTCAAAACTTGCCATCTCTATTAATCCATTCTAATTTACTTGGATTGGCAAAGGTGTATCGTTATCAAGTATCTGACTGGTTCCACTACCGAGTGACTGACTGACCGACAGACCAACTTACCAACCGATACCTCGCTTACCCACTCGCTTAGCCACTCGCTTTAAATGTGGATTAAACTCCAACCCCTCCAACCCCCCCCCCCTCCCCCCATCTTCCCCCTTCTAAATCGTCCAACTCTAACCTACCCATTCTTCTACCTTTGATAACCTCCCTTTCTTTCCTACAAACTCGGTCTGTTTATCCACTGCAATTTACATTTACCTTAAGATGAAAAATCCACCAAACAAACATAGCACAAAAATGTATCATCTTTTTAGCGACAATGGTGCAAGTAAAAACAAAACAAATATTTTCAAGTTGATCATGTGCGCGCAAGATATTTTCAAGTTGATCGGTAAGGAGTAAACAACTAAAATAAACATTATGAAATGGAGTATTTCATCGTTTAGTGCTTCTAGTAATCTTTCAAACGGATATCAGTAGAACCTTGAAAATCACAGCAGATAACCGTTTCCCAGGGAATATCAACTGATATTTTCTTGCTGTTTCTTGTGGTTCAATTTCAATCAATGTTTCAACGTCCCCATGGGTACACTTTACCATGTACAACGTTACCAGGATGACGGTTTCCATGAATATTTGGCCAAACATTATCATTGCCAAAATCCCCAGCAGGACTACCACCACCACACAAACCGCAGCTCTTAGGGCAGTTCTCTGAAGGATAAAGATTGTTTGGGGCGATTATCAATCGAGATAAATTTGTTTTAGCTCTGCCACCCTTGCATTTTAAACCACATTCAGAGGCAAAATTTAAGGTTTCTTTTCTATTTCCACATTTAAAAAGATAACCCGAGCATACTTTGAGTTCTGGGAATTCTTCTCCATTGATCGTACCACCTAAAGGTCAAAGCTGAAACTCTAGCTCACGAGCGGCAGAAAAAGGCTCGATAGTCACTGAAGGAAAAACGTAGACGCTATGCAGCGAGTGAAGTTAGCCGCGCAGTCGTAGTTACAAGACTCTAGCTGCTATACTTGCTGTAGAGCCTGCCACTCTAAGATCAGCCTGTTCGGTCTTAGCTGGCTCTGCAAGTCAACCGCAGACCGACTAACCGCAGGAGCTAATTCATCGTCGCACGACAAGCATTTTAATGGCTTTGTTGGGATTTTGTCGAAGGGATTTTAGCTGAATAGATACACGGAGATTTTTTCCGCAGCGTCTTGGTAATCGGTAAGAGATTTTTCTACCGAGATAATGAAAGGTGATGTTAACTTCGTTTCAATGTTTCCCTGTCAAAACCTTTCCTGAGTTCTCAAAGTCACAAGTAACATTTTTACGCTTTATGGTCCTTCGTCGAGAGGCGGCAACTAAGAGAGTCAACCAGAGCTAGTAAGCTTTAATCTTAACTGATTGAGAAAATTTTTAATAACTGTCGGTTTATGCCCCCCTATTCAAGTAATAATTTCCTGTCGTGGATCCTCTTCTATGATCATGGCCCACAAATTTACTCGCCTTTTTTTTATCTAAATACCTACGTTTTACTCGGCGATGGCGACATCCTCTCAAACGAACAAAAGAGTAGCATCTGGGAAATGCATCCTTGCAATCTCCTGTAGCTGGACACTGACGACAGCTCCTCTGGCACATCTCTGGATAAGAGTGTATTTAGAATTACGTTGGAGCGCTTTTGATTGAGTGTCAAAAACGCAGAACTAAATTACATTTAATTGCGACGGTTGATGAGAAGGAAGATACCTTTAAGAGCTAATGAGAAATGAGAGTTAAAACGACTAAACTGCCTTGGTTCTAGTTTTGCATCTGATTGATTAAGAGAGTGGCGTAAGTTTTCTGAACTAATCACAAAGCGAAGTAAAGCAAAACCGATGCAATCTCGGGTCACTTCCGACACTCCACTCAAAATAAATATTGCTCTAGTAACGGGGTTGGTGGGCGTCAAATTACACTGGAGTAAACCGCCCTCATTTACTGACTGAGCTCTTGGAAAATTCTGGCCCATTAGGCTAATATTAGGCTGATTTTAGGCTAACATGCAGCTTACAGCCTACATAAGGTCGATAATCGTCAGGAGATGCGTATTATAAGGGAATCTCTGTGACATTACACGTATGAGCGGACAGATCACGTGAAGGTGAGTTGAGAGATGTCTTTGGCAGAACGGCCCAAGACAGATACAGATAAAGAATCATTTCACGGCATATCCTGGGGTGAGGAATCACGAGAGTCCAGCTCCCTGGAGACACCAGTAGATCATGGATTGCTTAAATCAAGCAAGAGTTGATTGAGCGTGGCAGAAAAATACCTACACTAACCTTTTAGTGTTGCTATTCGGCCTCCTGATGGGAAAATGAACCTGCATTTCCTTTTGTTTTCTCTCGCTTGTGACCACCAAGGACAAACATAAGGATCGCTATCTTGACATGGATCCACTAGAGAGAAAAAGGGAAAAACTGATTACCTTTTTCGGAACAACCTCTCATTTTAACGTTACGCCCTACAACGAGCAAATTTTCTAAATGAAAACAAGAGCGTTATAGCCAGTAACGCGAGAAAAAGAAAAATATAAGTTCTTCTGGATGGAAAATTAAATAGTTGGCGTCATTATCCTAAACTTGGAAGGCTTAGAAAATAAATGAGTCTCTACTTAGGCTGATTATTTTGTATCAGGACTCTGTTCATTGTCTTTAGAAGATTTTTGTGAGTTTTTATTTTATCATCTCCTGTAAGGCCGCTCCGACTTTAGAAACCATAAACAAATTGTGCAACCGGAAGGTAGTGTAAAGTATTTCTTCTCAGAAAGTACCGCTGGCTGTTACTTCTAATTGTCCAGCCAGCACAAAAAATGCAGATTTTTGAAAGTAAGACAGCCATACAAATCCAAACATTTTGTATCAGTTAAACGCAATTTGCTCACCATGACATCGTCGACAGCTCTTAGGGCAGATGTCCCACAGAGGAAACCTCTTACCCACGTAAAACGTATCCGACGGTTGAGCTGTTTTCCAACAGTCTCCTGAGGCAGCCCTAATTGGACAATTTTCCTCCTTATCCTCGCACAGTTCTTTAAAAGTAGGCGATGAAAAAAGTAAAAAAAAAAAACACACACACACAAAGTAGTTAGTATTAAGAAAACAGAGAAAGAGACTGACTTTAAATAACTTTCAAACGATAAACCAATGGTACATACTTTGTCCTGGACAGAGCTCGTCATTGCAATGTTTCTTTTGTTTCCTCAAATTAAGACTGTTTTCCGGACAAGTCCTTGTGCGAACTTGGACTCCGCCACCACAAGTCTTACTACAGGCTCCGTAGGATCCCCATTCACTGCAATCACCTATGATGAACTAAGTCTATGAGCTACCAGGACTAGAGCTCTTAAAACTATAAGGAATAGTCGTGGAGATCTAAGAAATCACACCACTGATGAGCAGTTTTGAAGGGTCTGTCTGACGAGTTGTGAGCAGTACTGATATGAACAAATCAAGTTTATCGCTTTGTGTTCTTGCCAAGTTTTGAGGCAGAAGAGAAACTAGGCGATTGAAGATCATCACACTATGTCCTGATCCATGACAGAACATTTACAGCCAAGTCGAGTTTGACGATTGCTACGTGTAGGATTGGAAGTTTAAGGAAAGATCACCTTAATAGACTAGGACCTTCAACCCCCTCAACCCCCTGAGCCCCGCATTATCTTGTTTTTTTTTTTTGTTAAAACGCATTAATTACAACTTTTTCTATGTTTTCTTTTCTCAAAGTCAGCGTCTGCCAAACTTACCAATATCTTGCTCGTCGCAAGCCAGATTTATCACATTCTCTAGTTTGGAGAACATCTCGTTGACTCCAAAAACTTTTAGAACATAGCTAGAATTGCTGGCGATTTTTCCAAGTTCGTGCTCACGGAATCCATATCCAGCTCCAACGGCAATCCTTCTCACTTTGGCCTCCTGCGTTATACAGATATACATTTTACAAACGACAGTGATGACTTTTACAACCAAGTTTGCTTATTACAAATAGAATTGCATATTGCTTTTGCTTTGCTGCGTTCTGTGACTGCTCTTGAAAACTTGCACGATTTTCTCACATGCAAAACTAAAGCCAATGGAGACCTGGTCACCCGTGCTTCCCCTTGCTTGACTTTTTATCGAATTGCACAAGCGCAATTTAACACAACCAAGATAACAATTAGAACATGACATTTACTCACATCTAAAGGAGGAACTACCCGAGCGAGAGGCTTGTTTCCTTCGTATGTAGTTCCATGTGTAAGCACAATCAATACATTTGGTTTATCTGGTCTGTCGCCACTATCTTCCCAGCCAAAAAGATCTTGCGCTGCTAGTTCCAGGGCTCTATCTGTTCTTGAACCTCCTCGACTGTGCGGCAGGCTGTTAGCTTTAGACTTCACCGCAGAAATTGTTTGGTTATCACTAAATCTGGAAATATGAGAGAACCCTTTCACTCGCAACACGTATCTTTACTCCAGGAGTAAGATAGCCACAAACTATAGAGTAAATATCTTTGAGAAAGAGCCTCCACAGACCTGTGCCAAGTGTGTGCCTCCCAGCTGTAAAGGAGGATCGCCATATGCGTTCCTGCTCCAGAGATCTGAAGTCTATCAGCCAGTCGAATTAAATATTGCCGCACTAAATCGTAACCTGCAGGACTTATTCTATCCGAGGAGTCAATTATGACGGCGATATCGAGATGTTCTTTACAAGGTTTCGGCGGAGAAGTTGCAGGAGCTATGAGATTTATAAGCAAAAGATCGAGAACAAGATTATAAGTTGCAAGATTAGTGCATAGAGTGGTGAATTGTTGTCATTTGATTTAACGATATGAGTTTTGGTGTGATGACATAGAAAGTGATGTGATGTATAACGTGGCGTGTTGTTATGTTGGTTAGATGTGATCTGATTTGTTTGACGTAACGTGAATCGACGCGATGCGATACTTACACCTTATTCGATAGTTTAACATATAATACGTGCGGATATTTTGCGACATGCGCAGTATTATTACGAGCCCCGTACGGGTTAGGAATAGTATGAGCAATGGACAGAATTTCCGCTCGTTTACATGGGTGTCATTAATGAACCTTAAAAAAAAAGTTTTGTGACACGATTTGTAGTTCATGTCTGGTATAATGGTAAAGTACTTACACTGGACATCAAGATCAGCGCTAGCATTTACAGAAGGCTTCACTCCATTCTCTGCCGAACACCAGTATTTTCCAGATTGAGTTCTGTTTGTTCTAAAACTCAGTGTGTCTCCTTCAGCCACGGTTTTCCCATCTTTAGTCCACGTCATCTTTGGAGTTGGGTTCCCAGTGGCAGCGCACTGGAAGGTTAGCATGTCTCCTTCAGCAACAATCTTGTCCGGTGGCTTGAGGATTATACTCGGGGGGTCTAAAAATGTGAAAATAGAAATCTAAAACAATACTTCTTTGCAATCTTTTCTAATCGTTATGACCTTGTCCAGCGTTGTTTGGTTTTGAAGTTATACTTGATTCCTTGATTTTTGTTAATTAAAGAAGGGATAATGAAAAAAATAATCAAGGAAAAGCACACTGGCTTGCATAAAGCTCTAAATCTTACTTGAATAAACTTCTTCACCTGAGTTACATAAAGATGCGATCTGCATATTGCTTTTCTATCTGTTACTAAGACAGATGACTTTCTTTGCACATCAAGAAAGACAGTGAGGTTGCACCAATCGTACTTTTTTTTCTACATGTCTCATTAGTACTGTTATGAAATTTCTTTGAGGAAACACTTTTACTTAGATTCTTTACCAACTTACATTGTACATCTAGATTGACAGTTGTATTGATAGTTTCACCAAGTCCATTCGTGGCCAAACACCAATATTTTCCAGAATCATTCCAACTAGTTTCAAAGCTGAAGGTGTGTCCTTCAGCCACAGATTTTCCATCTTTCATCCACGTTATAGTTGGTGTTGGGTTCCCAGTGGCAGTGCAATGAAAAGTCGTATTCGTTCCCTCAATAACAGTTTTATTTGTTGGTCTTGAATCAAAGCTTGGTGGAACTGAGATATAATACACACAGCATGAAAAAAGTGAACAACAAAACAGTTAGTAAAAATAGGTCAAGTATTGGACCACAAGTAACAATTGCTATAATGTTACCTGTACTTACATTGGACATCAAGATTGGCGCTAGCATTGACAGCAGATTTCACCCCATTCTCTGCAGAACACCAGTACTTTCCAGATTGAGTTCTATTGGTTTTAAAACTCAGTGCGTCTCCTTCAGCCATAGTTATTCCATCTTTAGTCCACGTTATCTTTGGAGATGGATTTCCAGCGGCAGCACACTGGAAGGTTAGCAATTTTCCCTCGGTAACAATCTTATCCTCTGGCTTGAGGATGATACTCGGGGAGTCTAACAATGTGAAAAGAGAAATCTAAAACAAGTCGTACATTTGATAACTAAGGCGCAACATGTATATCTTCAACAATTCAGCGCAAAATAATCAATTCTTTATTTCGACCTTAACCAACGTTGTTTGGTTTTGACTTTACACTTGACTCCTTGACGTTTGGTAATTTGAGAAGGGATAATGAACAAAAAATAAGCAAGGAAACAGAACACTGCCGTGTATAAAGCTTGTGTTTCCTTGGTATAATTTTGATATTTTAAGACACCAATCTTATTTAAATAAACATCTTCACCGGAGTTACATAAATATGTGATCTTCATATTGCTTTTCTATCTGTTACTAAAATAGATGAGATTTTAGCATATCCGGAAGGACAGTCAGGTTAAGTCAAGGTATTTCATTAGTGTTGTTATGATGTTTCTTTTAGGAAACACTTTTCCTTAGTTTCTCTACCAAACTTACATTGTACATCTAGATTGACAGTTGTATTGATAGTTTCACCAAGTCCATTCGTGGCCAAACACCAATATTCTCCAGAATCATTCCAACTAGTTTCAAAGCTGAGAGTGTGTCCTTCAGCCACAGATTTTCCATCTTTCATCCACGTTATAGTTGGTGTTGGGTTCCCAGTGGCAGTGCAATGAAAAGTCGTATTCGTTCCCTCAATAACAGTTTGATTTGTTGGTGTTGAATCAAAGCTTGGTGGAACTGAGATATAATACACAAAGCATGAAAAAAGTGAACAACAAAACAGTTAGTAAAAATAGGTCAAGTATTGGACCACAAGTAACAATTGCTATAATGTTACCTGTACTTACATTGGACATCAAGATTGGCGCTAGCATTGACAGCAGATTTCACCCCATTCTCTGCAGAACACCAGTACTTTCCAGATTGAGTTCTATTGGTTTTAAAACTCAGTGTGTCTCCTTCAGCCATAGTTATTCCATCTTTAGTCCACGTTATCTTTGGAGATGGATTACCAGCGGCAGCACACTGGAAGGTTAGCAATTTTCCCTCGGTAACAATCTTATCCTCTGGCTTGAGGATAATACTCGGGGAGTCTAACAATGTGAAAAGAGAAATCTAAAACAAGTCGTACATTTGATAACTAAGGCGCAACATGTATATCTTCAACAATTCAGCGCAAAATAATCAATTCTTTATTTCGACCTTAACCAACGTTGTTTGGTTTTGACTTTACACTAGACTCCTTGATGTTTGATAATTTGAGAAGGGATAATGAACAAAAAATAAGCAAGGAAACAGAACACTGCCGTGTATAAAGCTTGTGTTTCCTTGGTATAATTTTGATATTTTAAGACACCAATCTTATTTAAATAAACATCTTCACCGGAGTTACATAAATATGTGATCTTCATATTGCTTTTCTATCTGTTACTAAAATAGATGAGATTTTAGCATATCCGGAAGGACACTCATGTTAAGTCAAGGTATTTCATTAGTGTTGTTATGATGTTTCTTTTAGGAAACACTTTTCCTTAGTTTCTCTACCAAACTTACATTGTACATCAAGATTTACAGTTGTATTGATAGTGTCACCAAGTCCATTCGTGGCCAAACACCAATATTTTCCGGAATCATTTCTACTGGTTTCAAAGCTGAGAGTGTGTCCTTCTGCCACAAATTTTCCATCTTTCATCCACGTTATAGTTGGAGTTGGGTTCCCAGTGGCAGTGCAATGGAAAGTTGTATTCGTTCCCTCAATAACAGTTTGATTTGTTGGTCTCGAAGCAAAGCTTAGTGGAACTGAAATATAATACACACAGCATGAAAAAGTGAATAACAAACCAGTTAGTAAAAAGATGTCAAGCATTGGACCACAAACATTGGACGTCTAGATTGGCGCTGGCATTGACAACAGCTTTTACTCCGTTCTCTGCCGAACACTAGTATTCCCCAGATTGAGTTCTTTTGGTTTCAAAATTCAGTGTGTCTCCTTCACCCACAGCCTTCCCATCTTTAGTCCATGTTATCTTTAGAGTTGGGTTCCCAGTGGCAACACAATGGAAGGACGTTACAAATTTACCCTCGGTAATAATTTTGTCCGTTGGCTTGGCGATGATACTCGGTGAGACTAAAAAAAATGATTTAGAGAAATATAAAGCAAATGGAACATTTTGGAGTCAAGTCAAGATTTGTGCATCTTCAAAAATTGAGCGTAAATCAACTTTTAATTTCCATTATTTTCTAACCTTTTCAACCTAAGCTATCCTTGTTTGCTTTGGGCTTAATACTCGACTCCTTGATGTTTGCTAATTTCAGACGCGATAATAAAAAAAAAATTAACAAGGGAACCGAACACTGCCGAGTATAGAGCTCGTGAAACTTGAAAATCAGATAGGTCACCATTCTCACTTAACCCTTTAAGTCCCAAGATCTGAATCTTAATTCTCCCCTCTAGCAGCAACACATCTTCTTGTAAATTAGTTACAAGAATTTTGTGTTGGATCAAGATAACACCCTTCAACTGATTAGTTGAGTATTCTTATTACCTGTGTGTAGGTTAATATATGGATATTATTGGGAGAAGTTACATACTAATCACTTCTAGGAGTGAAAGGCTTAACTACTTCTTCACCAGGGTTACATAAATATGTGATTTGCATGGGGGTTGAGTGATCGCGGTATCGAACGGCTCCGACGCCTTGTGTGTATTTCCGTCTGTGAGAAGGATAAGGAAATTTGGAGATTCTGGACGATCTCCATTTTCCGGGACGAAATGAGTAACAGAATTTCCTAAACTGCTGTAACCAGGTTCCTATAACGGGTGCAGCTGAGGAACAGCTGAGGAATGACTTACCATTAGCGATTTGGCTGATGTTTTCTAAGTGCTTATGAAGACTTTTGAAACTGTCCACCATTATCACTTTATTCTTGTCACCTGTGATGGCTTCAAGTTCCAATTGGTTTATATTAGGACCTATGCCAACAGCAACACGATGGATATTTGTTACCTTTGGAGGTAATAAACATGAGACATTTCAGATGATGTGAGATTTTACCCAAACAGGGTGGGGGTAGGGGTGGGGAAGGGGGGGGGGAAGAGTGGCCTTATCGTCAGTTCTGGATGAGATATCTGGCTTTTAGCGTCCCGGGGAGGGGGAATTAAGAGATTGTTATCTCACAAAATGTGAGGGTAAATTTATCCGAAGCATTCGGAATGATATGAACGAAACAAAACACTTTAGAGGGGGGGGGGGGGGGGCGGGAATTGAACAACAGAACATTTACGCATCGCCAAGTAGTTTTCTAAATGTAAAAAAAAATAATGGCGGGAAATTTTTTCCACCCCACTCCTCCCATCATGATTACTTTTGTTCCCAGATCCTCTCATTCTCTTCCTCTGATATCGCATCTCAGAGAAGTGGTATAAATACAAAGACTTAGCTCATTAACTAGGGTAACTTAGCTACCTTGCATCCCTGTATCGCGGTATCGAACGGCTCTGACGCCTTGTGTGTATTTCCGTCTGTAAGAAGGATAAGGACATTTGGAGATTCTGGACGATCTCCATTTTCCGGGACGAAAACATTCTCACAAACCATCCTCAGGGCTCTATCAGTTCGTGTGGGCGCGCCAAGTTTGTCTGTTTTCTTCATTTCCTGAATGAGCTGCCTCCAAGCCTCCAGGCTGTAGTATTTTGTATCAGTGAAGTTCACGCGAATTTCAGCGTAACTGGCAAATGTGACAATTGCAAAGTGAGTTGTATTTTCACCAACATCAAACTTGCCGATGAACTTCTCGACGGAAGTTAGCATCCTTTTATAGTTGTTTCCTCCTATGCTCCTCGTGCGGTCAATGACGATAGCCACGTCTAGTGCCACTGAAGGGTCAGGCGAAAAAGCTTATGAAAGGTAATACAAAACATTAAAAAAATGTTCAATGAAGTACCGGGAGACGCGGTTACTCAATGGTCAGAGCGCTGAGCTCCGGGTTCAGAGGTCTGGGTTCGGGACCAGTATGTTCTCCAACAAAACATTTTATTTTCACAGTGCCTCTAACACAGGAGTATAAATGGGTACGATAGCAAGTCATCAGGGAGGTATGGTGTTCAATTCAACATAACACAATTAATTTCCACAATGTCATCATCTTGTTATAATCCCTCTCTGGAGTCCAGATTAAAATGTTAATAATTTCAAATTTTACGAATCTTCTCAAAAAAACACGACAGTTTCCTCGGTTTCAGGTAGCTAATTTAATATCGATAGGATTCTAGCTGAATGAGGATAGTTTGAATTTCACTCTTTGATCGCTATGCAGTTACGTCCTGATTGTCTGAACAACTGATCGACTATATCACCATACCATCCGACCCTTCCCACCAATCTAACGACCGACGGACCTACCCACTGACAGACCAACTGACTCAACCACAAAAATAGTGCAAGGAGGCAATATAACTGAACGTCAGTCGTTCTTGTATAAAATTATTTTACCGTGCAATGGTGTAAGAATCATGGCCATAAACGCCCAAAGCCACAAGTCAGTCATGGTGCACCTGTCACTTTTCTCTGTAAAAAAAGAACCAAATCATTTTGGTGTAAGGAAGGTTATCATTTTTCGGACCTGTCCATGGGACCAACCGGCCAAACCGTTCAAGCTGACGACTCGAAGGGTATTTTTCGAGCGCTTGGAGGTTTTCCAGATTTCACGCAGTGTCGCGACATTTTTAGCTTACGCCAAATATTAGGCTGTGAAAGAGGGATAACTCCAAGTCTTACTTATCTACAATCTTAATGAGCAGTACGTAGCCAAATCCTAAGTAATCACATCCGTCAGGTTCCTGTGACCCCCCTCCCCCCCCCCCTTTTTTTTTTTTAATATAAATTGATAACACACAAATCATATGAGGAAAGGTGAATGCGAAGAATCTGCATGGTTTAAATACTTTCCGGTGTGATAAACTTTCTTTGACGGTCTTTCTTGTAACGCAAATGCGAGCCCGCTGATACACAAGAAAAAGCAGCGGTGTAAACTACATAAGAGAAGACGCGCGGAAATTCGTAACTATGACTCCCCCACCCCTCCCCCTCTCCTCATCATAAATTCCAGCTGCTTCGTGATGCAGAATTATCCACTGCGTTAAGGGAAATCTCTGCGGAGCGCTGGTTCGACAATCAATAGGACTGTATCTTTCCGATTTTTTGCGTTTGTTTGCGATGCATACAATATCCAAACTTTCTACATTCAATCGTCCACAAATCTTCTGTTACAAGATAGTGATTCTATTTATCTGCTATTACATCGGGAATACACGCCTAAACTACGTAAAACCAAGATTGACATTACTTATTCGTGATTTACTAAAATCCCAAGCTATTTCCTGTCAACTTGATTTTAACAGCTGTTTCCCATCACACGCCGATCAATACTTCTGTAATTTACACCCGCACGCACGCACTATTTGCTGCACGAATGACACATCACGCAATGTCAAAGGATGTTCCAACCCAAACGCGCACGCACAATTTCCTTAGGCAATTCCTTAGCTAATTATTTCAGACCATTATTGATTTTCTATATCACGAACATTCTTACCACAAGTCTGCCATTATCGTGCTACGTTCAATTATACACCTAAATCTGAAGTAACCCAACTGTCATCAAACCCTTAGCTTAATTACTAACTTAGAAAATAAAGTGTCATGCGGTTCTAACGACACTCCCTTAACAGGGTTCATCTGATCATTATTCTTTTTAAAAGCCATCAAACTAACTTTATTTTTGTACCACATCACAATCACCCTTCATCACATTCTTCATTTGAGCTCGTCGCTAAATACTTACCGTTTCTCCTTCCTTCCTTTGTTCGGGAAGACAGCGTGACCAACCAGAATGACGGCTTAGTCTAGACATTTCGGACAAGTCTCTGTTTCAACAGTCCCTTAAATTCTCATTCTTTATCGATATTTCTTCTATATTTTTTCGATACATTCAGAGATAGGTTATATCTTATATAAAACGCGGTAGGAGATATTAAGTTGATTTCAGTGACGGCTCATCACGGAATCATCCAAAACGATGGACAAACACGTATCGTTGAACGCTGTTCTCATGGAAGCAAGTTTTGAAGTAAGAGAAAACATTGAACGAAGGGCAAATTTTAGTTACCTTTTAAAAGGATCCTTGAAGTCATCTTTCACCTGTAAGGAGTTTATCACTGTATTTATTCCCCTGAGTACAACATCGGAGGAAACTGCATTTACAGTAAATTGTTTGATGGATTGGGCGAGGTAGGAGATGAATAAAGGGTGATGACAGAAAAAAAATCAGCACTCAAAGATCACTTTCCGTTGGGGGAGGGGGGTGGGGGTCTATGCTTGGTCATGAGGGGGAAAGTGACAAAGTTAAAGTTGATAAAAAAAATTAACCTCTAAAGAGCACGATCGTGCTTGATTTAATTCGTAATAGCTGCCTTTTCAAAGAGCTAAATGTTCTTACCAATCGCCCCGGGCCACCAACAGTCTTCAGTCAGAAGTTTAAGTTTTTAACCTAATTTTGGTAAGCGCTTTTAAATTCGCATCCCCAAACCCGGAGCAAAGTAAGTCCCTTGCCCTCTCCTTTCTGTTATCATCTGT